TACGTTGGGTTTAGATTAGATAGGTTAGGTTATTGGTCGTGTTTACTCCCAATATGTCGCCTCAAATTGCTGCTGGTGGGTGAAGGAGGGGGGTGAGGGAGGAGAGGTGAGGGAGAGCAGGAGGGTGAGGGGGGATAGGGAGGTGAGGGAGGAAGAGAGGGGTGAGGGAAGATGGGAGAGGTGAGGGAAGGAGGAGAGGTGAGGAAGGAAGAGAGAGGTGAGGGAGGAAGAGAGGGGTGAGGAAGGGAGAGGTGAGGGAGAGCAGGAGGGGTGACGCGGAACCACTGGATCGATGCTCTGATGCAGCTGGGATAGTGAGATGGTGAGGTGATGGTGAGGTGATGGTGAGGTGATGATGGTGAGGTGATGGTGAGGTGATAGTGAGACGATGGTGAAGGATGGTGATGATGGTGAGGCGATGGTGGTGAGGTGATGGTGGTGAGGTGATGGTGAGGTGGATGGTGAGGTGATGGTGAGGGATGATGGTGAAGTGATGGTGATGATGGTGAGGATGGTGAGGTGATGGTGATGATGGTGAGGTGATGGTGATGATGAGGAGGTGATGGTGAGGGGTGATGGTGAGGTGATAGGTGAGACGATGGTGAGGTGATGGTGAGGTGATGGTGATGATGGGGAGGTGGTGAGGTGATGGTGAGGTGATGGTGAGGTGATAGTGAGACGATGGTGAGGTGATGGTGAGGTGATGGTGAGGTGATGGTGATGATGGTGAAAGGTCGATGGTGCAATTGTTGATGACCGTAGCATCTCTCTTCTCTCTCTCTCTCTCTCTTCACGTCTTCACTCCTCAACCCCACAAATAGAGAAATCATTACTCCGGATTGGCAATATGGTGGAGGTTGTGTCCAATAATGGCCTACTAGAGTTGTTAAGTGTCTTTCTTGAGTAGTTGCGGGGCGGGGCAGCAGCGGGACGGGGCAGCGGGCGGGCACACACACACAAAAATACGTGTACATATGTGAGTATATATCCATGTGCGTATAACCATGTATGTATGTATGTACGTGTATTGACAATCGGTTTTCACGCCCCGTAATATCCGCCTAAGGAAGGTTGCCATAGGCCTCGGCGCACCTGTCATTGGAAACCTATAAGGGAAATATGTTTTTTTTTCCTTTTTTTCCTCGTTTACCTGTTGGCAAAAAATGTCCCTGAAATGTATATTGAGTTTTTGGTTTTAATTTTGGAGTTAGGTGATGTTTTGGGGTATACATACATACATACATACATACATACATACATACATACATACATACATACATACATACATACATACATATATTTTTAATTGTTTGTTTTTCAGGTAAGTGTTGGTGTTGTGTTGACGGGAACGGTAAGGTAAGTGTGTGTGTTGCTGATTGTGTTCTATGTATGTCTATGTACGTGTTTGTGTGTGTGTATGTGTGTGTGTGTGTGTGTGTGTGTGTGTGTGTGTGTGTGTGTGTTGTCGTCAGGGAAGGGATTTGTTTGGCCCACCGTTTGTTTGTTTGTGTTCCCATCTGCCTCATGGAGAGAGAGAGAGAGAGGAAATAAGCCAAGAGTAAGAGTAGACCCAGTTAGTCCTAAGGTAGTGTAGACGGCGCTATAGTATACCCACCCACACCCACACACACACCCACCCACACCCCACCCACACACCTACACACCACACTCACCACCCCCACCCACACTCACCCACCCCACCCACCCCTGGTTGGATTGACTACACCTGGGGAGTAATTGGTCTTGATCACTTTAGAAACACGAGAGCTGCAGGTGTGTTTTGTTGAGCCATTATCCTCCCTCCTCCTCCTCCCCTCCACCCCCTCCCTCCCCCTCACCCCCCTCCCCTCCTCCTCCCCCCTCCCTCCCCCTCCCCTCCCTCCCCCTCCCCCCGGGCAGGAGACAGGTATGTGGGGACTAATGTAGCTATCAGTTTGGGTGAATTCAGTGTTTGTTTGTCTGTGGACTGACTGGGTTAGGTTAAGATTGTATGTATGTATGTATGTATGTATGTATGTATGTATGTATGTATGTATGTATGTATGTATGTATGTATGTATGTATGTATGTATGTATGTATGTACAGGTAGAGTAATTCTCACCTGTATACCCTTGTAAATACAGGTACAGGTATAAATTACCGGTAAAGTATCACACAGGTGGTTCATACATACCTGAATATACATAACTCAAATTATGTATACATAGATATATACATGACTACGTATACATTATCTTTAATACATAGTTAACGAAAGCAAACCTTATTTAGTAACGTGTGTTTATGAGGTAATAGATCGTCCTGGGAAAAATAAAGTGTTCCATTAGACGCCACACATTATCCTGGGAAACATAATGTGTTGTTTTACTCCCAGGAGGCTCTAGGTGGCGTTGTACATCCTGGGTAATTTATAAAGGTGGTGGGGGTGAATATTTAATTTCCTATATGTTGTGTGGCTCTCTCTCTCTCTCGGTAACTGAGAGGTAACCAGGGATTCGAACCCGTGTACTTAGCCGTCTCACCAAGAGCCACAGAGAGCCACGTAAATTAAAACAAAAATAAAATCTGTAAATTAAAATAAACAACAGAATTTGGTGTAAAAAAGGTTGTAAATGACCTTCAGTGACGTGAGGTGACGTGACGTGAGGTGAGGTGACGTGAGGTGTAAGTTAAAATGACATCAGTTGTAAATGAGTGTAAACATCTTGTGTATCCTGAGGAGGTACACACACACACACACACACACACACACACGAACACACACACACACACACACACACACACACACACACACACACACACACTGGCTACTGATGGGGTGATGAAGGCTGCCGACTACACCTGCTGGTTGGAGCCTTGGGTTAGGATTAGGATTAGGTTAGGATTACGTTAGGATTGTGTTAGGATTACGTTAGAATTACGTTAGGCTTAGGTTAGGATTAGGTTAGGATTACGTTGGGATTACGTTGGGATTAGGTTAGGATTACGTTGAGCAGGTTAGGATTAGGTTAGGATTGCGTAAGGTTAGGTTAGGATTACGTTAGGATTAGGTTAGGATTACGTTAGGCTTAGGTTGGGATTAGGTTAGGATTAGGTTAGTATTGGGTTGTGTTGGATTGGAGGTGAATTTGGGGTGGGTCGAGTAGGGTGGGGTGGGGTGGGTTCAGTGGGATGGATTCGAGGTGGGTTGGGTTGAGTGGGTCGAGTATTTTGTTTGAGGGGGGTTGGGTTAGGTTAAGTTGTATGTATAAGAACATAAGAATGGGAGAAACTGCAGCGGGCCTATTGGCCCATACTGGGCAGTCCCGTTTACACCCAACCCCTATTGCTCATATGAGCATCCAACCTATGTTTGAAGCAATTCAGCGTTATGTATGTATGTATGTATGTATGTATGTATGTATGTATGTATGTACTCTTATTTATATTTTGTTTGTAAATGAAAAGTGAAAAAAAGTAGAATTCGGAAAAGTAATTAACAATGCAGGTAGGTATTGGGAGGGGGTGGAGAGGGGAGGGGGAGGAGGAGGGGGAGAGAGAGGAAGCACTGAGCGTTCCCCTCCTTCCTGTTGTAAAATAACCACCTTGTCGACACCCCCTTCCCCTCCTCCCCCCTCCCTAACACCCTGCCACCCATTACGCTCGTTCTCACCTGGGTGGAGAAGGAGGAGGGCTTTGAGATAGGAGGGAGGGAGGGAGGAAGGAAGGAAGGAAGGAAGGAAGGAAGGAAGGAAGGAAAGAAGAGAAAGGAGTGTGAGGGTATGGAGTGAGAGTGGATGGGTGGGAAGGAAGAGGTAAAAGGTGGTGGTGGTGGTGAGTGCGTGAGTGGCGTGCGTGTGCCCCCTCAACCATACCACACGTAACCAGCCCAGTTGTCTGTCTTTACTCTTAACCCTATTCACACACCCCTCACCCCTTACCTCCCTCACCTTACCTCCTCACCCCTCTCACCCTACCTCCCTCACCCCTTCCCCCTCCACCCCTCACCCCCTACCCCTTACCCCCCTCCACCCCTCACCCCCTACCCCTTACCCCCTCACCCCTACCCCTTACCCCTCCACCCCCCTCACCCCCTCCATCCCCTCATCCCCTACCCCTACACCCCCCTCACCTTACCCCTACCCCTTACCCCCTTAACCCCTCACCCCTCACCCCCTCACCCCCCCACCCTCTCCCCTCCCCCCCTCCCCCCCCCTCACCCCTCTCCCCCTCACCCCCCCTCCCCCTCATCCCCTCCACCCCTCACCCCCCCTACCCCACCCCCTCACCCCATCACCCCCTACCTCCCTACCCCTCACCCCCCCCTCCCACCCCTCCACCCCCTACCCTTACCCCTCCACCCCTCTCCCCCTCACCCCCACCCCTCTCCCCTCTCACCCCACCCCTCTCACCACCCCCTCACCCCTACCCCCTTACCCCTCTCTCTCATCTCTCACTTTAAATATCTCTTATTAATACCACATGTATCCATCCATCAGAGAGATACATAATATAATATACATATAGTATACATATTTCGCCTATGTATAACACCACTAGTTTAGGTTTAGGTTAGGTTAGGTTTAGGTTAGGTTGTACATGAACACAGGAAGTGGCTGTGGACTTGACAAGACAGGAATTTCAGTTCATTATTAGGCCGTGTGGACAACTGGCCGCTGATTAATAACAATTAGTGTGCGTAGAGGCGTCACAAGTGCGTCATGAGGTGTGTGTGTGTGTGTGTATGTGTGTGTGTGCGTGTGTGTGTGCAAGTAATAATAATAAAGGTGTGTGTGCGTGTGCAAGCGTGTGTGTGTATGCAAGTGTGTGTGTGTGTGTGTGTGTGTTGGAAAGGAAGGAGGGAAAGAAGAAGGGAGGGAAGGAAAGGGAGAGGGAAGTAGGGAGAGGAGGAGTGGTAGGGGGAGGTGGTAGGGTACGCGTGTCTGGTGATAGATGCCAACTAACGCCACCCTCCTAGATCACTACAGCCTGGGCACCTTCCTCAGTTTGGTCTGGGTAGCTCACGGGCACGCAGACTACCCTATCTTTATGCCCTGTGACCTGCCCTCTACCAGTGACGTGTTGGGTATTGTGGCGTGTGGGGGGTATACAAGGTACTAGTATTGAGGTACCAGTGTTAAGGTACCATTGTCAAGGTACCAGTGTTGGTATACAAGGTACCAATGTTGGGGTACCAGTTATCTTTGTGTTCGAGTGACAGGAAATGAACTGCTGGCCACGAATATATATATATATACACCTCTCTACCCCACAGGCTGATTGGGCCCCAGTCCTAATGGGCCCCCATTCCTAATGGGCCCCAGACAGTCTTATTGTTAGCAGTGTCTGGGGCCTATTATGAACCGGGGCCTGATAAGAGTATAGGGCTTATTAAAACTGTTACCTATTAAAATTTGTGCGTAATAGGAATGTAGTCTAATAGTTATGGGTTATAATAGGTACTGGGGTCTATTATGGTCAGTACCTATTAGTTTTGGGGTCTAATAGGAACTGGGGTCTATTATGGTCAGTACCTATTAGTTTTGGGGTCTAATAGGAACTGGGGTCTATTATGGTCAGTACCTATTAGTTTTGGGGTCTAATAGGAACTGGGGTCTATTATGGTCAGTACCTATTAGTTTTGGGGTCTAATAGGAACTGGGGTCTATGGTCAGTACCTATTAGTTTTGGGGTCTAATGAGTACTGGGGTCTATTAGTCAGTACCTATTAGTTTTTGGGGTCTAATAGAACTGGGGTCTATTATGGTCAGTACCTTTAGTTTTGGGGTCTAATAGGAACTGGGGTCTATTATGGTCAGTACCTTTAGTTTTGGTGTCTAATAGGAACTGGGGTCTATTATGGTCAGTACCTATTAGTTTTGGGGTCTAATAGGAACTGGGGTCTATTATGGTCAGTACCTATTAGTTTTGGGGTCTAATAGGAACTGGGGTCTATTATGTTAGTACCTATTAGTTTTGGGGTCTAATAGGACCAATTGGCACACTGGAGTCTTTATTATACTATGGTCCCAATAAGTCTGGTGTTTAATAGGACTGCTACCCAATAGGACTCTTGGTTAACAGGTTCTTCCTCCTTTCTTCCTTCCTCCCTTCCTCTTCCTCCCTTCCTTCTTTCTTCCCTTCCTTCTTCTCCCCCTTCCTTCTCCTCCCTTCCTTCTCCTCCCCTTCTCACCCTCCTTACTACCTCCTCCTTCCTCCTTCGTCTTCCTCCTCCTCCTCCCCTTTCTCTTCTCACCCTCTCTCTCTTCTCTTCTCTTCCTGTTCCCCTTACTTTCCTCCGTCCACACACACACACACACACACACACACACACACACACACACACACACACACACACAACACCAGCGTGGGAAGTTGTCAACAAGTATTTCCCTGAGTCACCTCTTAAGTTTACGCTACTGTTTATTGTTGAGTAAATTAGTCACGGGATGGTCACTCTGTCTGTCCACTCTCTCTGTCTGTCCACTCTGTCTGTCTACTGTCTGTCTGTCTGTCCACTCTGTCTGTCTGTCTACTCTGTCTGTCTGTCTGTCCACTCTCTGTCCACTCTTTGTCTGTCCACTCTGTCTGTCTGTCACTCTGTCTGTCGTCTGTCCACCTCTGTCCACTGTTTGCTGTCCACTCTGTGTGTCCACTCTCTGTCCACTTGCTGTCTGTCCACTCTGTCTGTCTGTCCACTCTGTCGTCTGTCTGTCCACTTCTGTCCACTCTGTTCTGTCCACTCTGTCTGTCTGTCTGTCTGTCTGTCCACTCTGTCTGCGTCTGTCTGTCTGTGTCTGTCCCTCTCTCACTGTCTGTCTGTCCACTCTTCTGTCCACAGACTACTACAGACAATCATATTCGGTACAAAAGAGACGAGCGGAGGTTGCTAATAGGAGGTGGCTAGGAGGGGAGGGGTTAGGATAGATGGAGGGGTAGGGAGGAAGGGAGTGGTGGCTAGGAGGGAGAGAGGGGTGGCTAGGAGGGAGAGAGGGGTGGCTAGGAGGGAGAGGTGGCGAGGAGAGAGGGTGGCTAGGAGGAGGAGTGGTCAGGAGGGAGGGGAGGGAGAGAGGTGGGAGGAGAGAGGGGTTAGAGGAGAGAGGGTGGCTAGGAGGAAGGGAGTGGTGGCTAGGAGGACGGAGGAGGGGTGGCTAGGAGAGGAGGGTGGCTAGAGAAGGAGGTCAGGAGAAGGGAGGGTGGCTAGGAGGGAGAGGGTACAGGAGGAAGAGGGTGCTAGAGGGACGGAGAGAGGGGTGGCTAGGGAGGACGGAGAGAGAGGTGGCTAGAAGGGACGGAGGGAGGGGTGGCTAGGAGGGACGGAGGGGTGGCTAGGAGGAAGAGAGGGGTGGCTAGGAGGGACGGAGAGAGGGGTGGCTAGAGGACGGAGAGAGGGGTGGCTAGAAGGGACGGAGGAGGGGTGGCTAGGAGGGACGGAGGAGGTAACAAGAGAATAGAGGGTAATGTCAGGTCTGTGTGTGAATTGTTTGTTGATGCTGTAAACAAAGACAACAACACAGCCT